AACTGATAGTGTGTTTGATATGATGGTGTCAGGTGTGATCTGTGCTAAGAGTACAGGAGGAGAAACTGAGTTTAAGTTTCCATTAGTTTTCCCTTGCAATCTTTAGTTTTACTTTTTTTTTTTTTCTATTATATATCTATTTTACTTTGGTTTTTGAGACAGGGTCTCACTACGTAGCTCTGACTGGCATAGAACCTACTTTGTACAGGAGGCTGGCCTTGAAACTTGCTGTAATCCTCCTGTTTTTGACTCTTGAGTTCTGGGTTTGCAGGTGTGCCACTAAATCTGGCTTCCTTTTTGATCTTTAGAATAATGCTAAAGTTAAAAACCAAAACAACCAACCAACTAACCAACCAAACTCAAACATCGCCAATGTGACAAGTAAAAAATAGCTTTCTGTTTTTTCTATGAGAGTTTTTAATGTGTGTCTTTCCGGTGTCTGTGTGCTTACATCATGCGAGTACCTGTACCCACAGAGGCCAGAGGAAGGGGAGGGAACTCCTGGAACTGGGCTTACAGGCAGATGTGAGCCACCATGTGGGTGCTGGAAACTACCTTGGGGTCCTCATCAAGAACAGGAGTAAGTAGTCTTAATTGCTGAGACATCTCTCCAGCCTCTCATTGTTTTACTTTACATTTAATTTTCTTCTCTTTAGCTGGGAAAGACAGTCAGCGGTGTTATATACACAGGCTCCTTTCAGAAGAATTTGGATGCCTCTCTTTGTACTGTATAACAGCAGCGAGTTGTAATAAAACAAAGCCAAGCTGGGAATGTCAAGTCTAGCTAGAATGAAGCAAAAGAGAGGCAAATCGCCAGCAACATTACAGGAACTTTAGGAGTCCTTCAAATAGTGGTGGGTGGTGATTAATTCCAGGGGCAAATTGATAAATGAATAACTATCTCAAACCAGCAGATGATTAAAGAAACCATATGCAAGATAAACTATTACACAACACCACGAACCATTCCTCCATTCTAGGAGCAATGCTAATTCTGTGCCACACTCGTGCTCTAGACAAGAGGAAGATCCAGCTTGGATATCAAGGGGCCCACAGGAATGAGAAGAGAGGTTGGGTGCAAAGCACCTTTGGAACTCCCCTCTACGGGACGCTAGAGGAAGCCACCTCAGACCTGAGATATGAAGGATGCAGAGACACCCTTCTCAGCAGAGGGGAAGGTAGAAAGTATTCTTCAGAATCCAGCAGTTTGGAAGAGGAAAGACTTCAGTTTTAGGTTAGGCACAACGAAGGATGAGGTTGGAAAGGTCCAGGCATTTTCACTAGTCAGTGGGAAATGACAAAAAAATAAAAATAAAAAAAAGAAAAAGACACATAATTCTCAAAACTGCGCAAGAACATGGCAACAGGGCAGGCAAGATGGCTGATTAGGTAAAGGTGCTTGACATAAAGCCTGATGCTCTCAGTTCAATGCCTGGGACCCACGAGGTAGAAGGAAAGAACAGACTCCTCACAGATTGGCCTCTGGCCTCCTCATGTATGCTATAGCCCAAGCACAGACACACACAGGCACAGACACATACCAACCCCACCGGTGCTACCACGCCAGTAAGCAGATAAATGTAAGAGATCATGGCAAAATGGACTAACTATGATCACAAGACAACCTGGAAATTTGTTTTGTTTTTTTCTGCGGTAGATGGAGCCCAGAGGCTTGCATATGTTAGGCAGGTGCTCTATCTCTGAGCACATCCCCAGCCCTGAAAACTGCTACTTGGCTATGTAAGTTAATTACACTAATTAAGTTTAACAGGTGTTCTGTTACCAACACTGGGTCAGTGTAACGTTCATGGACTGTCTATGTCAATGGGCACTCATGATTCTTTAAGATCTCTTCCTTATAGAAAAGAGATGTAGATGAACACTACACACAATGATGAGCATGAAAGAAGAGGAAGCTGATTTTTTAAAATACCAATTGGTATTTTGTTTCATTTTAAATTTAAGTATAATTACATTAACTTCTTCTTTGCCTTTCCTGCTTCCAACTCTTCCCACGTCTGCCAGCCTGGCACTTCCTCTCAAACTGATGGCCTCTTTTTCTCTGAATATTATGGTTTTATGTGCATGCATAAAGATATAAATATAGCCTGCTGAATCTGGTTAGTGTGTGTATACTGTTTCAGGTATGACCACTTTGCATTGGATAGCCAGTTGGATAACCAAGGGCACATCCCTAGGAGAGACCAATTTTCCCTCTCTTGGCACTCATTAGTTGTTTGTAATCCTTTGTCTACAGATGAGATCCGGAGAGATTTCTCCACTCTATATTAGCACACCTATTTGTTTTATCATTCTTACGCCTTGTTTAGGCAGCCATATTTTTTCAATATCTTGGATGTAGCTTTGTCATTCCTGGTCCAAGCTTTCCATGCACTCTTCTGCAATGCTCCTTGAACCTTAGGTGTAAGAATTGTGTTGTAAATACATTCATTCATGATCAGTTGAGCTCTGCGTTATGACCACTTATCTCTGCCTTATGGCCAATTGTGATTTTCTCTGATAGGCTCCATCTGCTGCAAAGAGAGGCTTCTTGGATGAGAGGTGACAGCTACACTTATGTGTGGGCATAAGGATAAGTATTTAAAATGTAGTCAGGCATTATGCTGTCTAATACACTGGCATTGGTAGGTTCTCCTCTAAGACCCATGACCTTCTTAGCCCCAGGTAGTTGGCTAGGTTTCCAGAAACCAATTAGACGGCTAACACCAAGACACATGGATGCTACTACTTGACCTCTGGGGATCGCCTGCTGCTTATTGTTGTGGTTCTCAGCCATCACAGCTGAGTAGGACAGTTGGTCGTGCCCCTCCATGGAGACCGGAAGAGGACATCGGATTCCCTGGGAGCGGTGTTACTGGACAGTTTTGAGCTGCCACTTGGGTGCTGGCAATCTACCCAGAGGCCTCCGGGAAAGCAGTCAGTGCTCGCACCACAGAGCCAGCTCTCCAGCCCCTCCTTCCATTTTTAATGAAGTCTAACCACTCCATGTCGGCTCATTCTGAATTTATTTTCTGTATTGGACAGCCAAGGATGTACTTTCTTCTAAGTCGAGGTCTCTAAGAAATTAAGGGAACCCTTCGGGCTGTTGTGGGAAATGGAGTGGAGCTAGGAGGATTTCAGAACTAATCCTTGTTACATGCACGAGACACTTGCATCGACTGACCAAATGCGCTGAAACTTGGCATGGTTCTGTCAGAGAGGACGAGGGACGGGGTTTCTAGGTCAGGACTCCTTCATCAGCAACGTCAATTTCGAGACCCTCCTCCCCAAGGTGTAACAGCTTACAGGTGGGAAGCCTGCACTTGAACGAACGTGCTCTCCCTCATCTGGTGGTTTTCAGACAAGACTGATTTTCATTCAGTGTCTCTTCTAGGTTCCAAGCTGGCTTTCCTGCAAGTCTTTTTTTCAGTTGGGATTCTTCAAAAAGCTTACTGTAACTGTCAGCGGCAGCAGAGAAACTCCACACTGCTGTCAGCAGCTGAGAAGCTCCTCTTTTAGGCACCCTCACTCAGGTCAAGTCGGGTCCTTGACTTATGAGGCCATGAGTCCAACCAAGTTAGCAGGCTTGTTAAGTAAAGGCAAGAGCTAGCCCAGGCTTCATATTTAAGTGTGAGAGAGAGAGAGCGCCAGCGAGAGAGAGAGAGGAGGAGGAGGAAAGCACAGAGCCCTCATGGGTGCCTTGCGTTTGCTTTACATACATGATTCTATGGCGGGTTTGTTTTGTGTGTTACGTGTCTCCAAGGATGCGATTTCCAACGAGACTTAAAGATTACAGTTTTAAATTAAATAATAATAAAAAAAAACTCAAGCCCGTTTACTGTTCTTACCTTACAGAATTATTTTGCAAAAGGAATTGTAAGGCGCTTTTACGAGGTGCATTGTTTAGACTTAGGAATGAGAGAGGAGTGTTGAGTGTTATCAGTTAAAGTCAAGCAAGCGCTCTGCCCCCAGCTACCTTTTAAATACTCCTGCAGACCTCAGCTTGCCTCTCTTCTGACCCCAGAGCCGGCGCAGCACCTCAAATATTGCCGGGTGGGGGTGAGAGAGGGGGAGGGGGTGAGTGGGTCGGCGTGGGGATCCGAACAGCCGCCGGCAACGCTGCGCGCAGCGCCGAATGTGGCCGCCACACAGCGAGCGATTCGCTCGTGACACCCCGGCTCCTTCTGGTCCCAAGTTCCTAAACCCCGGCGGCTTTGATCTTAGGAGAAAGGGAGCTCGCTGCAATTAAGAGTTTCTCGAAGGCTGAGCGCCCTCCGCTCTGCCGCCTTCGGCGAACTGCTCCCGAAACGTGACTTGGCTCGCGGCGAGCGCGGCTCCTCTTACCAAAGGAGTTCAGGTCCCCGGCTCTCGCTAACCCCGCCAGCTTTCCGGGCTGGCGCGGTCACCGACCCCGCGGCCTGCGGCCAAGCCGACGACAGTGGGCCGGAAAGTGACGCGAGGCTCTCGGGGTGGCGGCTGGGAAGCAGGGGCTCAGGAGCGCCCCGGGAGCCAAGTGCGGCCGAAACAGCAGGGTCAAAGGATAGACAAAGAGCGGTCACGGTCAGGGTGGCCACCTGCCTCTCGCGCCCTAGACCTAGGTCGCCGCACGGGAGCGGGGCTACGTAAGGCAGCCCAGGCCTGGCGGCCCAGCCCCTTTCCGTCCGGGGGAGGGCTCGAGGGAGGGCAGACGGCGGGGCCCGCCCCCGGCCCCAGCTCCAGCCTGGTCCCCAAGCCGCGAGCGGCCACGGCCGCTTGCCAGGGGGAGGCGAGAGGCTCCTCCCTGGAGCAGAGAAACCAGTTTGTCCGGTCGGGCAGAGCGGAGGGAAAAGGGCTGCCGCCGAGGAAGGGCGCACCGACGCGGGGCGGGAGGAGGCGGGGAGCCCTTGGCGAGCCACGGGAGCCGGAGGAGTCGCGGCCAACTGGACGGGCTTCCCGGGGCCCCCGGCCAGCCCCGTGTGCCATGCAGCGCTAGCGCAGCCGCAGCGCTGGGGCCGGGCGGGAGGCGGCCAGGTGCGCACAAGCCTCGGAGCGGCGCGCACCCCGCGGATGCCCCGGTCGGGGCCCAGAGAGCACTAGGTAAGAGGGGCGAGGCGCTGGCGTTTCCCCCACCTTCGGGACCCGGCCAGTCAGGCAGGGTCCCCTGGCTCCCGTGGTGGTCCGCGGGCTCGTGGATTCCACGTCCCCGCGGATGCGGTGGCAGCAGCTGCCCGCTCGCTCCCTCGGGCTCCCGAACCGGGACGAGTGGTATTTGGGGGGCGAGGGCGGTGGTGCCGGAAGCCTCTGCCCGCTCCATGGTCCGGGGCTGGCGAAGGGCAAGATGAGAGATTCCCAGTTCTTTGGGGTTTTCACCTGTTCCCGGGGAATTGGGGGGAAGGGATCTCCCGGGAGCTGTTTTGAGTATTTTATTTTTCGTTGGTTTGCGACACACATGTCCGGAGTTAAGTTTTCGGGGTTTAGCCAGGGAACGGGGTGGGGATCTTTGAAGAGTGTCGCTGGCTGTCATGCGAGGACCACTGGCCGCTCTGGGAATCTTCCACTGACAGGTTTGGAGAGAAGGCGATCCCGTGCACACGAAAAAGACATCAGGGAGGAGCTTTTCTGGCCGCCGTGCACCTGCTGGGAGGGATGAAAGGGGCGAGACCCTTTGCCTGCTGGGCTCCTCTGGTGCGCATCGGTGAGGGAAGGGGAGTGAAAGGGGAAGCGAACGCTGTTCCGGGTGCAGGACCGAGCTCTCTGGCTCCAACGTACTGTCTTACAGCAGTCCTGAACCCCCTGTTTGATACCCGGAGCTGTCAGTGGAGGAAAACGCCGCAGGCGGCGGGCGAGGTGGTGTGGAACAGGGCTGGCGCTTTAACTCCTCTTTTGGCTAATTCTCTCAGCCCAAAGTGAAATAAATGTCTGGCCAGCCACTGCCCCTGGAGGCTCAGAGTGCAGATCTCTAGACTGGGAAGAGTATCAGGGTTCCGAGAGGCGGGAGCACCAGGGGTGAGGAGTTGGCACAGGAAAGTGGAAGGCTCCATTTGACCCCAACCCCCGACCTACACACACTGGCTTAGGTATTCTTCTCGCCCTTCTCTGGTGGTGGACCTCCCCATCCTCCCCAGATTGCCTTCCCTGTTGGAGAGAAGATTCATTCCCATTTATCTAGGTCCGTTGTTTTCAAAGTTCTCCCTCCACCCCTAGAAAATCAAACCAGATAACACCAAAGTGCTTGAAGACACCAGGCACTCCTTGGCCACAAAGGAGGAAGGTTAACTGCCTTAAGGAAGAAAAGCTACAAAGGATGTGTGTTTCAGGGTCTTGCTGGACAGTAAAGGTCCGTCTCAAAAGAGGAAAGCCAAACGGAGTACGTGGTCAAAGCCCTGGTTTTCATCTTGTAAGCAGTACTTTTGTGTTGGGCCTAAAGTGCCATTGGTTGCTCTGTCTTTTGTTAGGACCTTATTAAACCCTATTATAAACGCACGTACTGTGCGAAGGATGATGAGTGCTTATTAGCTGATTAAATTCTGGGGAGCAGTCACACCTGCCTACAATTAGCCTCTGAAACAGCTAATGGTTTTCTTTATGCAGAGACTTCCTTGTACTTGTCTTGAGAGAATGCGTAACCGCTGTGTTCATTTATCATCTTCTCATGGCTTTTACTTTGATAATATTCACTGGCTCTTCGTGTCAGGGCCCACGGAGGGGGCAAAGGAGCCTCATGGCTTGCTTAGCTTTAACTAACACAGCTCCTTGTTCGCCTCCTTCAAACTCCACTGATTTTTATTTTAAGGACAATGCACACCCAAGTTTACTTGTTATCACCTCCTACTGATGGAACTGGGAACAATTAATTTTTTTCTGTTTAAGATGGTGATTTAAAACAGTGATTTCTGGGAACAACCGGTAAAAAAAAAAAAAAAAAAAAATCGAGTTTTTGGATGTAAGCCAAGTTCAGGGCTAGCTCCGTGGTTAGCCTCACTTCGGTACCCGGATCTTGGTGAATGAGCGTCTGTGGAGTGCTTCCCTCTTTCCTGACCTTCTTTCCATTCTTCTCTTCTGCTTTAAAGCAAGGTGTAGTAGAAAAATACTCGCTTTTAGAGTCCAACAGACTTCAGGTATCTTACTAATCGCATCACCAGTTTGCTCATCTGTTAAGGGGAGAAGATACTTTTTTTTTTTGCCCCATTGGGAGAAGGTTGGAGAGGAGAGACAGGACATTTGCGCCCTTTACGAATAGTAGATGTTTGGGTGTTGTTTTATTTTCTCTGTAAGAAGAATGTTGTTTTTATTTTCAGTATCGATTGTGGTATTTCCAGACAGGGACTCCTTTGTCTGTGTTAGCTGCAAGCTTGCTATGTAGCTGACAGTGACCTTGAATTTCTGACCCTCCTCCTTTGCTTCCCAAGGGCTGAGATTACAAGTGTGTTCCTTGCACACCTGGAATATTTAATTAATTGTTTGTTTGTTTGTTTTGCAGAGCTGGAGATAAGCTAACCAAGTGTTTATCATGGAGCTTTTCTCTCAGCCCCTTGACATGGCTTTTAAAAGCCAACACCAGGAACAACTGTTTGGTGTTTATACATTATTATCACTTGATTCTGGAGTCTGAACACGTAAACAGGCTCATTGGTATATTAGTACTTTCTTATCTTACCAGTTTAAATTCTGTGTTAGTTTTTCTGAAGCAACATTCATGGACCACAGGTGATCTCTAGAACTCTGGAGAGATTTTCATTCTGCTCTTGGCCTTGCTTCTTCATTCTAGTTTGTAAAAGAAACCTTTGGACCTTCAGATACAGAGGAACTGGCTCTTTAGGGGCAATTGCAAATTGTGTGGGGTCCATTCCTGACCCAGGCTCCTATCAAGGGGAACGTTAGGCCTCTTCAAAACTCGCTTTTAGAAGTGTTGCCTCTATATCTGCTTCTAGATTTATCTCCAGGGGGCTTTTTTTTTTTTTTTTATGGCATTGACTAGATCCAGTATCGGTTGATAGGTTTCTGTCTCTCTCTGTGTGTAACAATTATCTTGCTTCCAAAGAGGTTGCATTAACACACATACCTAGATGGGATTTTTTAATGTTTTTTTTTTGTTGTTGTTGTTGTTTTTTTTTGTTTTTTTTTTTTGAGACAGGGTTTTCCTGTGTAGCCTTGGCTGTCCTGACTCTCTTTGTAGACTAGGCTGGCCTTGGACTAACAGTGATCAGCCTCTTTGCCTCCCAGAGTGCTGAGACTACAGACAATGCACCACTATGTCTGGCCAAAGGTGGCTTTTTCATCTTACCACCTGTGTTATTCTGGAATCTCATCCAGGTGCCTACCTAAAAGCAATGTCAAAGATAAGTTCTTTTGTAGCTCTCTATGTCAATAAGGCCCTAGTCTTATGGAGGATGATTATGGAAAACAATTATATACGTGAATATACATTTCTCATATTTATTCTTAGAAGCCAGGGAACTTACCAGCTCACATTTTGATACATTTGCCCCCTGATACCTTTGAGTGAATGGCACTTTTAAATAAATGATCATGCAGTCTACCCACAATGGGGGCCATTTTAATAACGGGTCCCAGTGGACAGAGTCCAGAGCAGTGTAAAGCAGAAACACTGGCCTCTACCTCCTCAGACTCAGGTTGGCATCTAGGCCCCATTGTTTCCCAGCTGCATAACCTGGGGAGCTTCCTGCAGCCTGGCTTCTTCTCCTGTAACTGGCGGGGGGTGATGATTTTCAAATCAGGCACTTGGGAAAGGAGGAGGGCTCGTGGCCCCTAATGAGAGGTGTTAACCTAGCTTTGGTATGGCTGTGTTGGTGGCAGTGCTCTCTCGGTAGTGCTCGCCTACCCATTGCCTTTCTCCCGGTCCATGGAGAACACAGGATTCGTTTTACATGTTAGCATTTGCTTAGCAAACACAGGTGCACATTTGCACCTGGAAATGGAAAGAAAGACACCCGGAGTAAGAGCAGGTTTCTAAGGCTTTGAATCCTTTGCCATTGTTCTGGAGTGCTTGGATGACTAGGGAGCTAAGCGACCTCTCACCTTAAAGGAGGATGAGTTCAGTCCCAGCCCCAGTGGGCTCTGGATGCTCTCTATTGCTGCTACCTCCTCCTGTCCAGCAGAGGCTCTGGGGACCCTCAGAACACTACAATGCCTTCTGGATCCCGTGCTTCTGTTGATTGCTCCTCTGCTTCCTCTTCTTTACTCCCAGTTTAATACTTAGTAGTGTTTGAACCTCATGGTTCATGGAGCCTGGGTATCTGTGGCTGGGAAACTTGATGCAACCTTCCTTCCTTCCTTTCTTCATTCATCCACTTACTTTCAGTTATGCCAATGGATTCCCTGCCTATGTGGGGGACGATTGTCATATTTATTAAGGGCCTGAGTTGGTCTTCTTTGATAAGAAATCTGGACAGAGGACTGGGGAGATGGACTGGCAGTTAAGAGCATTTGCTGTACTTACAGAGGACCTAAGTTTGGTTCACAGCACTGGCATGGCAGTTCACAACCATCTAGAACTTCACTCAGGTGGTCTGATGCCCTCTTTGGGCCTCCCAAGGATACTGCATGCATGTGGTGTAAAAAGAAGCAAACACACACACACACACACACACACACACAAATAAATAAATAAATCTGCAAAAAAAAAAAAAAAAGAGTTGACTAGGTTCTCTCTCCTGCTCTGGACACTGTCTCTACATGGGAAAAGGGTGGTCTTAGGTTTAGGTCTGGAGGGCTTTGTGATTCTCTTCTAGCTCTGTGGGCCTGGTTTATCATCACTCTTCAAGTGTAGCCTTTAAGGTGTGAGGGATGAACCTGGACATGACAGCAGAAGTGTCATTCTGGACAAAGGACTGGACTCCTGGGGGCAGCTTGCCCTAATTACCTTTCAGCGGTGAAAGCTATCCACTCCCTCCTAGCATGGTTGAGAAGCTAGCTTCTGTACTGGGTATGTGTAGAGCCTGACCTTTGCCTGGTAGCCTGGGTCTCTATTTGCAGGGCTGTTGTTTTATGGCTTCATTTCTTTGCTGAGTGGCTTCTGTTCCACCAGAGTTGAGGTTTGTTTGATTTAGGGTAGGCTGTGTTTGAAATCAGTTTTC